ATAGAAATATCGAGCATAAGAAAAGCGTCCTGATGTTAAAATAACGTTACGTTTTCAAACTTTAGACTGCACAGTTGCAGAAGAAGCTACGCGACGGTATGTAAACAACTGTTTCACACTCTCGCCAATTGATGCTCGAAGCAGGTAAATCGTATACAGTTTTTGACTTCTTTGAATAGACTATATAGCTTAGAGGGCTTATTGCTTGACGGGAGATATGATGTGGGTATTATTTGGAAAAAATTGTATGTTGAATTATTCATCTTCTGTATTATTCTATACTAGGGTCTTGCTTAGGAATTCATCGTAGCCTGGTACGTGAAATTCCTCTACAATGAAAAAAGGCTTTGACATAAAAATGTTGACAGTTGAATAGAGGGGAAGACAATCTTTTATTGATGCAAAAAAATTTTTTTTATCATCTCCGTTTTGAGTAATGAGTGCATTATGTCATTTTTTAATAGTGCACCCCCTGAATCCCCGATGATCAAAAACTTACTATTGATATTTCAATAGTCCATTCTTCTTATTTGAACCTGACTATATGAAGACCAGGATGATTTTTGTTTTGCATGCTGTATTCATTTCATAAACAAAAGAGTTACCCCTATCACCTAGCAACCTATGAACTCTCTACCTCATGTAAATACGGATTCTAAATAATTTTGACAGATTTGACAAAATGAATCAAAAAGAGCTTAGTACGTGCATGCACTTTATATCGGACATAGTTGAAACACAGAAATATAGCTAAATAACTTTGTTGTTGCCTCATGTCAATCTGTTGTTTTTGATTTTCGATTATAAATTTCGACAAAAATGAGATACGTTTAATAGCATTTTGTCTTGAAGTGCTCAGTTTCTCCAGACTGTTCCAATGAATTTGTTTCCGCAAAAGTTAAGTAAACAATCTTAATCTGGCAGAATGATTAAATAGCGTGCGGACGCGTCATTTCCCTGTTAATCAGATTCCTTTACCCTCTTTTCATTGTCTGCTATTGCGTCTATTTTGAAATGCCTTAATTACCCATTGCCTAAGCTCAAATATTTCAGTTTTGGTAGTCTTATTATTATATCTCAAACATTGCCGTCGAAGACCATGCATAAATTAAGACGGTTCATTAAACCGTACTGAATGAAAGAAGCCTTCGATTACTATATCAAACTATGAATTTGTATCTTATTATGATGGGAAATAAAAAAAACTTAGCAACTGTGCAGAGTACAAACAGAATAAAGTGTTGTATGGATTATAATTTTATGCATAACCTCTTTTCAGCCATGAAGTGTGTTATGATCGTGACTCTTTTATCTTTCCTGTGGGCAAGTACAGGTAGGCAAATTTTACGTTTTTCTTAAATAGTTCTTAGCTAAAACTCTGCCTTGAATCATAAATCATTGTAATAGTTTTAATCAGGATATCATATCATGCAGCGCGTGATTAGGCTTACTAAATTTGAAAATAATAGAAGGAATAAACTCTGCCTTGAAACTGGGATTCAACCAGGGACCTTCAGATATTCATTCTCGCTGTTATTGGCTGTTTTGTTATGAATTCTAACGTACGAGTACGCTAATTGTATGAAGTAAACTCGCGCCAGGCCAGCGCATATGTCAGCGTACATCAGACTGGAAACTTCAAAATTGTTGTTTATTTTTTTTTTTAACACAAAAAAATATTCCATAATTAGATACCAATAACAGAAATCGTGGTATGTACTTTTATTCAACACCCATCTCGAACAATCAGAAACCGATAAAATATACAATGTTTTAATTTTAATGACTTCAGTTTTCAAAGACTAGTCTTTGCTTTCTGATCCCGCAATACCATATATATTTACCAGCACCCCACTTAAATGTTTCCTTAACTAAGCAACAACAAAAACAACAACAACAACAACAAAAATCAATGGCCAGAAAAGGGACTGAACCAGAAGCGTTTACGTTAACCGGGGCCTAACTTCCTCGATTAAAATCGATTCTGCACCAAAAGCGATATCCTTAAATATCTCTTAAGTTGTTTTCCCTTACATTTTAAAATTAACAGTGAGACATCTTTCTTTTGTAGATTTGCTTGTAAATACAACTCAGACAAGGTAAATCAATCGATTAAAATAATACAGTCCGAATGTATCAGTGGCGGATACAGAACATAACAAACGGGGCTGACTAACTCCAGAAACCACTGTCTACATATCAGTGGTTTTCTGACAAGGTACTCAAATGCAATGTCCCGATACGTAGATCACAAGCTCTTGTATAAAACTGCTGATTATTTTTAAACACTACTTATAATATTCATTAATAATTCATAAGCTAGGCAGCCACTCAATGATTACCATTGGAGTCACATGACTACCCTTGTATTCACCGATACAAAATAAAAGTGCGGGGAGGGCTTGAATTCACAGCAGGGAAAGGGTGGGGTTGATGAATAATAACAATAGAAAATAGATCTATTAATATGTTAGAAAAAATATAGACCTATTAGTATTCTATATTTTTTCTAGAATACTAATAGATCTATCCAAATGAATAGTCAAATATACAAGCATTCACAACAAATTTTATTACCTAAACTCCTTATCTATTTGTCATATCACAGCTTTTACTTATACTGTAGCTTTAACTGTTCTCACAGAGTTAAGTATAAACAGTTTACTTAAAGTTAAAGTTAAAGCTAACGTTACAGTTATTAAAGATTGCATTAGTATTTGGTATACTTGCTAACATTTCATCTGAAAGATCAAATTGAAAATTATCTGAACTTCCCAAACTTGCAGATTCTGGTAAACAAACATCAGCGAGTAGTTCATCAGGCACATCATACCCAAAATCATTAAGCTGCAAAGAATTGCTACTAGGAACTGTTTTGGTGCACTTATCTACTTCCCATTCCCTTTTAGCTACACTTTCCTCCCCTTTTTGTTCAGTTGCAATACTAGGGCCAAGAACTGCGCTTGCAGTTTCAATTTGTTTAAGACTTGGCAACTGATATCTTAAAAGAGCATTAGAGGTATGGCCTGTTCTTTCCCGGATTAACTTTTCCTCCACCCCGTTCTGAAATAGCGACGTTGCACAAGTAATGCGCAAGCAATGAGAGGTTTTCCTAGGAATTCTCGCCTTGTCACATAGTTTCTCCGGCAAAATCTTATTAAGTGTACTAATACCTACTGCGCTTTTCTCGTACCCCATACTCCCGTCCCTCTTTGGTCTACAATAAAAACATTCTACTTTGGGAGCAATGTCTTTCACTAGCTCTAAATACATTGAGTACATTGCTAAGAGACATGGGCTATGCTGCTTTCCCTCACCGTGACACTGATGATTAACTATCCTCTTCCCCTTCTTCAAATCTTTCAGACCGCCATGAAACGTTTTTGACAAAGTCTCATCAAAAATAATGCTATTCCCTTTTAAAATAACATTATTGTATCTTAATTGCCTATGCTCGTTTGATCTTAGCCCAAAAAGCTTTCCATTATAAAAATACATAGTATTTAAAAGACTTTCTGCACTATTGTTACCTAACAACTTTAGTTTCCAAAACAATGCCTCTTCCTCCTCTGTGATGTTTTCTCGAGGTTCTTTCTGGGTTGCTTGAGTAACACCGAGTTTGGTGGCCTCTCTCATTTCGGCGTCGAGTGCTTTACGAAATGTACAAAATCTTAAAATTGTAAAAGAAATAATGATGAATATGACTAAACATTCCATGGTGTCTCTATTTTTAGTTACTTTTAGTTACAAAAAATCAAACAACAATTACCTTCGATCATTCTTGTTAAGGAAGTTGACTGAATTCTCGGCATTTACGTTTTGAAGATGTCTGTTAATGCCCGAGACAATTACATAGAGAGATTTCGGCGGATATCTTCCGCCACTCTTATTTGCAACCTCACCAATAAACTTAGTAAGCCAGAAATTCAATGTGCTTGGCGTCATTTCTGTTAGGTCGACATTTAGATCTTGTACATCGTCAATGTTACACTTGAAGCCAAAACCCTCATTTTTTGCACATTTGTTTGCTCGGGAATGCTGCCATTGGTTAAATATCTTAACACTCCATTTTGTTGTGTTTCTAGTGTTTGATGGTATAGTTTCTCGCAGCCAGGCTTCTTCTTCGTCTTTAGCTTTTGGATTTCTGAAGTTCGCCATGCTCTCTTTCTCGCTTAAAGTGAACGATAAACTGAAGTCGAAAACTGCATGTAGCGTGGTCCCGTGTAGAAGAAAACAATAACTGCTTCATTAGCAAACCATGGATTACATAACCCCATTGTAGGACGGATTTGATGTAACAAAGATTAGTTTAAGTCCATTTGTTTCATTAGTACATAACAAAGGATCCTTATGCAAAAATAAAATGGCTTTTATATTATGTCTTTTGTATTACGTTTAACGAGCTGTATTTTTGCTATTGTTAACTAGAAAAAATAACGCAAATACCAAATAACAGCTTAATGTACTAATGATGGATATCATAAGTCATATACAATATTCGCGTCCGATCTGTATTGGGGATACAATGGCTCGCCTTCGGCTCGCCATTGTATCTCCCAATACAGATCGGCCGCTCATATTGTA